CAGACAGACAGACAGACAGACAGACAGACAGACAGACAGACAGATAATGTATACATATTAGAGATGGGTATGAAACAAATCATTAAGCAAAAGAAAAATCCATGAATCAGGCTGTTTTGGGGTGCTTCAGCAAAACCCACCTATCCAGAATGAAATGTAATGCCGAACTATTATCAACATTGGTTATATTCATATGTTTCATGGTTTGTACGATTTGGGACTTCTAGAAGAAGCACAATACATCCCCTGTGAGCAAGAGTTGCCAAACTCACAGCAAGTCTTCGTCTGCCTCTCTTCCCTACTCCTTCCAAGTTTGGTGAAGCTTGTGTTCAGGACGTCTGAGTTATAGCCCCCCCAAAGCATCCCCCCCAAAAAGTCCTCTTTAGCTAAGAGTTTGGCATCTCCAACTCACGCTGTTCTACTGCTCCTGGAAGTCCTGAATCACACAAATCATGAAATAGTTTATGGTTCGTGAATAATGACGAACCACCACAAATCACCATTTTTGTAGTTTGTGCCCATCTCTAGTATGCATTCTATTGATTTCAGCAGGTCTTATTTTATTGGGACAGGATTTAACGTTTGCTTCAATGAAGCAAACTGTACCCATTGCATAATAATATCAGTATAATAAATTTATTGGGAGGAGAAAAGAATGAACCTTAAACAACAGCCCCTTAAGAGTGAAGTGTTATGATATATGAATGAGTCGATGATCAGCTCTGCCTTTTGGTGTCATCCTGGAACATGGCTATCAGAGAGTTATTGACAGATAAGATGCAAAATGTCAGTTTTTAAAAATTGCTAATATCATTGTTAAAGGCAGTTCTGATAAATAAGCAGAACTGGACTTCTTTGTTTATGGCTTTGTGGCATACGTCACAATATTTGAATTAATTACTGTGGTGCCTTGCATTACGATGTTAATTCGTTCCAGCGTAATCGCTGTAGAACGAAAACGTCATAATGCGAAAATGAAAAGCCAATTGAAACGCATTGAAACCCCTTCAGTGCGTTCCAATGGGCTGGAAACTCACCATCCAGCAAAGATCTTCCATAGGGCGGCCATTTTCGGTGGCTGTCTTGCGAGTATAATAAATTTATTGGGAGGAGAAAAGAATGAACCTTAAACAACAGCCCCTTAAGAGTGAAGTGTTATGATATATGAATGAGTCGATGATCAGCTCTGCCTTTTGGTGTCATCCTGGAACATGGCTATCAGAGAGTTATTGACAGATAAGATGCAAAATGTCAGTTTTTTAAAAATTGCTAATGTCATTTTTAAAGGCAGTTCTGATAAATAAGCATAACTGAACTTCTTTGTTTATGGCTTTGCGGCATACGTCACAATAATATGAATGAATTATTGACCAGTGTCCAAACCCTAAGGCAAGTGGAAAATCATCGTTTTGCGAAGAATCGGTTCCCGAAGCAGGGAACCGATCATCGTAAAATGAAAAAACCCTATTCAGACCATCGTTTTGCAATTGCAAAAGTGATTGCAAAAACGTTGTAATGCGGTTTCATTGTAATGCGGGGCAATCGTAAAGTGGGACACGACTGTATTGACCAGTGTCCAAACCCTAAGGCAAGTAAAGTGTCATCGTTTTATACTGATCGGTTATTCTTGCAATGATGGTATGAACATGCTTACTGTGAGGATGTTTGGACACCGTAAGAAATGATGCCATCCTGTAAATTTCAGTCACTTTCTTAATAGGGAGTGGTGGACTCCATCAGATAGGACTCCAGAGGAGGAGGAGAACACATTTTAATGCCCAGACTGATAACCTGAGAAGAAATCAATGCCTGTGCCCATAACAAACATGGCATTCTGAAGCCATAAGAGCTTCACAATTAAGTGTTACATCATAACTAGATATTAGCATGAACTGCTGGTTTGGGAGTTCATGCTGCCTTGTTTTGTTTTTGTTTTTTTGTCCAAACAAATGTCCGGTGCTTCTCAGCCCCACCTCCTCCAGTGGGTACCCGCTCACAGGCAAAGCCCTGCTTCGCTGCTCTGCCTCCTCCAAGCACTCCCTGTAGAGGAGGGAGGGCTGAGAAGCACCAAACACTCGTTAGGATGAAAAAATGAACTAGCACGAACCACCAAACAATGGTTCATGCCCATCTCTAGTCATAATTCAGAAGATAATAATATTGAAACACACAAAGGACATGAACATATCATGCAAATGTTACGGTCACGTTAGCTGAAGAATTCTGGGGCTCGTCAACTGAAAATTTAACTTCCCCAAGCTGCGGAAATTAAACTCCTCTTCCCACACTGTTCATTGTGATCGGAACACAGCTCCAGACACTGTACCCACCTGGCACGAATTCACAAACAAACCACCAATGGTACAGCTCCAGACACTGTCCCTATCTACCGAAGGAATCATACTGTGCTAATAAGCAAGCAGATTCTTACAGACAAATGTATCTGGAGCTGCTCTGCTTATTGTCATTTTAACTGGTATAAGCTGGCAAAAGAGAAGAGGAAAGATCTTTCCATAAATGGGAGGAAGGAACCATAATTTGAAAATTTCTAGTCTGGATGACTAACCAGGTGCAGACATCAAGTGGAACATAAAACATAGCACTGGTAATATTAGATACGCATGGCGATGTTGGGACTTGCGAGTTGGCAGTAAAGACGTGGTCTTATCCTGTCTGGCGCTGGACCCTGCAATCACCCTGGAAATGTTCATTCATGGGATCTAATCTTAGAAGCTTGGTTGACTCCCAGCTGTAGTTAATAACGGACTGTATCCTGACTTAAAAGGTGGTGTTTATGTCTTAACCAGCTCCGATGACATTGCTAGGCAATTTACACTGAGTGTGTTCTTCTGAACGGTTGCTTTGCATTCGTATCAGTTAGGTAACCAGGCCAGAAATGGGAAAAGTTACTTTTTGAGACAGCACCTCCTAGAATTAGGGACGGAAATTCTCCCTTGACTTGTCCTCTTGGATAAGGAGGAAACATTGCAACATGGTTCTCCTTCCAAACAAAGAGGGCAAGGATTTTTCTTGAAAATTGGTAAGAATGTGAAATTTCACTAGTACTCTTTCCACTCCTAATGTCTAGGACCGAGGGTCATACTGCCTGAGGTACTGTGGGAGATTTAGTCCAAAAAAATATAACTTTTCCAGACTCTGATGTGCACGCTACGACAGTGACATGCAGGCTGTATGGGTCGAGTGAGATCAACGGACTGAAATCCCATTGATTAGCACAGTAAGTCATAACTAGAGTAGGCCCAAAGCTACATTCATGGCATTGTTTTGCGGTTGTATAACTTTTGCATATAGTCACTGTGATGTTTGCCCTTGTGGCCCCTGCTTTTCTTTCCCTCACAAAGCTCGCTGCCACCAGTGGATTACCTCAATCCACCATATAAATGGCGTTTGCCAGAGCACTTGTCTTGTGAACAGAGACAGAACTTATTTACTGAAGTGAAGCAGATTGGATAAATAACAGGAGTTTCTCAGATGCACATTATACATAAGCAAATCATCAACAGTTCTCTCAGTAAATACTTCTTTTCTATTGCTATATCATTACTGCCTTCTCTACCTATTTACCTAACCAGCCCTATCTCTCTCAGTCTCTGTTCCCTCTCTCTCTGACTAACCAGCCCTATCAGACTCCTCCTTCTCCCGCCAAGCTTCATGCAGCTGCTGACTCCACCTCTCCAGTCCTCTCATACATTCATGCAAATCAGCTCATGCATATGAATAGCATGAGTGATGTGGGCAATTGTCACAGTCACTGCTGTAAGATACCTTGGATTTTCTTAGAAATGGGTGAGTAACACCAGACCTACATATACTTTTCCAACCCACTCCTCCACTAAAAAGCTTGTCTCTTGCCCCCAAGGAATGAAGGACAGAAGGAAGGGAGGAAGGAACCACTTCATCTTTCATCTCATTTTGCTTTCTCTGCAGGCGTAGGCTATGCTGTGATCCTCATAGCCCTCTCCCACTAAAAAAGCTTGTTTCGTGCCCCCAAGGAAGGAAGGAAGGAAGGAAGGAAGGAAGGAAGGAAAGAAGGAACCACTTCATCTTCCATCTCATTTTGCTTTGTCTGCAGGTGTAGGCTATGCTGTGATCCTCATAGCCCTCTATGTTGGTTTCTACTACAATGTGATCATTGCTTGGTCTTTGTACTACCTGTTTTCATCATTCACCCTGGGGGAACTCCCATGGACCAAGTGTGGCAATCCCTGGAACAGCCCCAACTGCACCAATCCCAGGAACGGATCATCCTTTGTCACAGGCACCTCCTACACCAAGTACAAGATCACTCCTGCAGCTGAATTTTATGAGTAAGTGAAAATCTTTCTGGAGATTTTGCTTCTCAAAAAAGGGAACATTTAAGTCATTTCTCTGGGATTTCTGTCTTGTCCTTCACGATAAACAAGCTCCTTGTGTATAGAAGCTTGGTTTGCCACTGATGGATGTGAACTTCTTTTGAGGCTATAAATACAAGGAGACTCATCCTAGATCAGACTAAATGTCCATCCAGAGTGTTAACGTCTTAAGAGATTTTTGCTACTAATGATATGCTAACTGTATTGTCTACCTGTATTGCTTGACCTTTACACATGAGTTGGAATTCCTAGCATTTTAAATAACCCCTGAGAAAGGGAGTGGGAAATGCATTGAGTTGCAGCCCCCATTAATCTTTGCCTATTTAAGACAAGATATCTGAAGAATCAACATTTCTCCACCCTTCCTCAGTATCTGCACAAATAAAAGTTGAGGAGGGAACAGGGTTAGGGGCTTGAATGATGATAACCCTACCTTTTATCTCATAGCAATGACTGCCAGAGTCTCATTTTCGCATTATGGCCCTAGGTACAATGAAAAACTGTTTATGGCAGGAACCCCTGTATCCACAGGGTATCTATTCCATTATGTACCACAAGTGCCTATAACTGCAGATATTAGTAAACTTTATATACAATGCACAAGGAGGTGAGACAAAGGCCACATGGCCTGCCCCCATGTACATTTTATATAGGGCTACAGTAAACTGTGGTTAACTGAAACTGTGGATATCCTCTCGTGAATATGGGGAGTCTCAGAGCATGTGGGTGCGATCTATTCAAAACTGAACAAATCAACATTGATTGGTTGGTTGGTTGGTTGGTTGGTTGGTTGGTTGGTTGGTTGGTTGGTTGGTTGGTTGGTTGGTTGGTTGGTTGGTTGGTTGGTTGGTTGGTTGGTTGGTTGGTTGGTTGGTTGGTTGGTTGGTTGGTTGGTTGGTTGGTTGGTTGGTTGGTTGGTTGGTTGGTTGGTTGGTTGGTTGGTTGGTTGGTTGGTTGGTTGGTTGGTTGGTTGGTTGGTTGGTTGGTTGGACGGACGGATGGACTTGGGCAAGCTGGGTCTTCATTTCAGTGACCTCAGAAGAATGGAAAGCTAATCAGGATCAAAATATTTGTTAATCATGATCAAAATATTTGTGTACCCATCGATACTGCTGACCATGAACTGCTGGTAACCCATCTGGGGCTTCCATATTTATGTGATTAAATGGTGCAGAAATCGGTCATTTATACTAGTCATCTTGAAAATAGTAAAGGGGCACGTATGGGGGGGGAAGTGTAACTTTGTCTCTATTATTTTATCTGGATAGTAATTATGTCAGTAGGGGATGACATAGAAATGGAGTGTTTCCTTTCATTCTCTGTATAAGAGCAACAAAATGATAACACAGGAAGGACGCCCAGAGAGTGGTTCTTCTTATCACATTGGCAGCTCAAGAACAAACATAGATTGCTTTCTTCTTGGCAAAGGGCCTTCATTTCACAATTGGTTTCATTAAGTTTTATTAGATCACTAGGCTTTTTCTGAGGAAGAAGCCCTCAAGTGCAGTGCTGGCCCTGTATTTCTTTAGGGCTTTGAACAAAACACCTTCAAATGACTCCCTTCTGCCTCTGGAGCATCAAGTGCCTCATCACCACCATGGTCGTCAGTAAGCTCCCCATCAAGAAGAGATCTGCTAGCTTGGACTGCCACTCCCAGAATTCCCCACAGAGAACTGTGCTGCTAGGGACTTCTGAGAATCATAGTCCAAGAACCCAAATCTGTGTGCCTCTATTTGAAAATATAAACACATAAAAAAGAGCCATCAAAAAGGACCAAAAGCTTTACCAAGTCCAACATCAAATGCACACAGTGGCCATAGGTCACCTGGGGAAAGCCAGCCAGCCAGCCAGCGGTTCAACTGCATCCTTTGTCTCGTGTCCTTCAGGTGTTGTGTCTGATGCTGGAGATAATGCATAATCATCTTGATTCGTGGTCTTTAACGAGCCTCCCTTCAATGAATTCACGAAGCTATCCAAGTTTGAAACAGTCACTGTATATCTCTTGTAATTTGATCATGACGGGTTAATTCTCCTTTCCCACCTGGGGGCAAATTGGTCCCCCAACTCTGAAGCTCCTTTTAGGAACAGATAAACATGTTTTGACATTCAAACAAGGATCTCCCTTATAACTTAATTCTGGTTCTGTTTGCATTTCAAGCAGTTAGTTCAGCTACAGGAGGGATGGAAAAGGTTGATGCTCTAGACCAGTGGTCCCCAACCTTGGGCCTCCAGATGTTCTTGGACTACAACTCCCAGAAGCCTTCACCACCACCTCTGCTAGCCGGGATTTCTGGGAATTGAAGTCCAAGAACATCTGGAGGCCCAAGGTTGGGGACCATTGCTCTAGACCACTGCTCTAGAGCAATGGCTCCCAACCTTTGACCAAGAACCTTCCCCAGATGTTCTTGGTCTAAAAAAACCCCAGAAGCCTTCACCCCCAGCTGTGCCAATTCTCGGTCTAAAAAACCCCAGAAGCCTTCACTCCCAGCTGTGCCGGCCAGGATTTCTGGAAGTTGTAGTTCAAGAACATCCAGGGACCCAAGATTGGAAACCAATGCTCCAGATGTTTTGGCTGATACTTCCCATCAGTATGGTTCATGGCAAGGCATTGTGGGAAATGTAGTTCACAAATTTTCTCTACTCCCCAATCTCCTACCCTGTAATATTTCCCCCCATCTCAAGCTTTTACCTTCTATGGGCAAGTGGAATCTATGCAGCTGCAACTCTCCCTCGCCTGCTTAGGACTTGGGGGCTTAGGTTTGTTTGTTCTGGCTTCTTTTGAAAGACCAAAACTGAAAAACAAAATGGGCACATCCCACAGAGTCACGTCATGTTCTTTTAAATTCAGTTTCCTGTTTAGGCTTCATATCCTTTTAACAGCGCCATAAAGACCATACTTTCGATGAAGCTCACAAAGGAGAAACAGCATACACAACAGACGGGGGAATCTAAGAGTCTGCCCCAGTTTTACAATGTGTTTGTTCCTCTTATCATACTCCCGATGCTTGCTGTTCTGTCTTAGTCTCAGAAAACTTTCTCATATAGATACGTTTTGCAATCCTGGCAATCACCTTGTAAAGTAGGCCAGGTGGAGGCTCCTGAGAAACTATCATACCAAATAGCCTGTGGACTTGATTGAGAAAAATTCCAACTTCTCACTTGTGTCATCCGGGATCAGACACATTTCTGTGCAGTCGGGCTAAAGCAGGACGGCCAACTTTGGTTCCAGGGTGAAGCGAACTTAAGTTGCTAATTGCTTTGGATCCAGAGGACAAATCAAATTGGATGGAGCATAATTTGCCATTTCCCCATACTGGACTCCTGTGGACGGGTTTTTCCCAGTGTGGAAGAAGTCACTGAAAAGCTCTGTCTCTCATGTTGAATAGATGAGTCTGTGAAGGAAGTGGGAGTGAGAGGAACACCTCCTCTAAAGATCTTAGAACTGGAGGAGGCTCATATGGGGAGATGGCCTGGACCCAAGTTGTATAGACCTTTGTAGGTCCTAACCATAAGTTTTCCTTCTTCTTGTTTTAACTCCTGTTCCTTGAAGTCCCGGTTGGTGCTTGGCTTCATGAAACCTGGGTTGCACAAATAAGTCACTCTTTGGCAGGACTGGACTAGGTCCGATGGAGGGGAGGCGTGGCAGGCAAGAGACACATGAGTGCTGCTCTGTACAAAGTGAAACCTACCACTCCTCTGTCTCTTTTTGGCCAGACGACGGGTGTTGCAGCTGAACCAAAGCCGTGGGATTCAAGACGTCGGACTGCCCCAATGGCAGCTCACACTGTGTCTCTTGGTAGTGGTGATTGTTCTTTTCTTTAGCCTGTGGAAAGGTGTGAAGACATCTGGAAAGGTACGGCAAATACTGTTTAATTCACAGAGACTTTACCCATCTATTCCTCTCTCTAGTCCAGTGATTCCCAACCTTGGGTCCCCATATGTTCTTGGACTACAGCTCCTGGGAATCTTGTCCATCACAACTAGGATTCTGGGAGTTTTCATCCAAGAACATCTGGAGACTCAAGGTTGGGAGCTCCTTATCTAGTCAAAACCAAAACAGTGTAGTCATTAAATAGCCCTTCTCATTCATTCTACACATGGATAGACCTATCATCCCTACGGTTGATTTCCTAGCCTCTCCTCCTTTGCAGCTCCTTTATCATCATACAGAGCCACCCATCTCTAAAGAAAACATTTTTGCTCATCTGTGAGCTCTGCGTGTGAGCTACAGCCCTGGGAAATCAGGGCATTTTGTTGTGTGAAGGGGCCAACATATGAGAAGGGATGTCTACTTTGCCAATCTGTCATGTTCCATCTGGAGAAGGCAGTACAAAGAGAAGTAATATTTGGTCCTCTCCTCTAGGTGTGGGTGAGACTGTGTGAGGAACCACTGAGTAATCTTTGAATTAGACTGGGACTTGTGAGAAGTAGGTTCTATTCTCCCCCCCACTCTAGTGTAAGATCAACATGGTGACCTTCTCAAAGCACCATCTCAAAGTATGATCCATAGTTTTTGTGTTCCTCTCATCCTACAGGTTGTATGGATAACAGCCACGTTGCCTTATGTCGTCTTATCTGTACTGTTAATCCATGGGCTGACATTGCCTGGTGCCTATGACGGAATCAAAGAGTACCTCAATATTGATTTCAGAAGATTGAAAGAAGCCACCGTAAGTGTTCGATTTACCCCTTCTTTTTTACAAATAGACACTGCAGGAGATCACAGTAAAGCCGTAATAAGAAAAACATACTTCACTGAAATCATTCATGCTACTATTATCCATATAACAAAGTAAATCCAATTTTGCATAAATGTGTCTAATTTCTGTCTCTCTCCCTCCCCCCTTAGTCTTGGGAGGTAACTTTGACCCTTTTCCAATGGTGTCATAGTTTTTCAAACTAGTCCTTGATGTCAGGAGTCTTAAATGGAGTCCCAAATCTGGCACAAACTATTCCATCTTTAGGAACCAGTCCTGTTAATAGTCTGTTTGCACCAGTCTAAGTGGCGCTGTGGGCTAAACCGCAGAAGCCTGTGCTGCAGGGTCAGAAGACCAGCAGTCGTAAGATCGAATCCACGCGACAGAGTGAGCGCCTGTCGCTTGTCCCAGCTCCCGCCAACCTAGCTGTTCGAAAGCAAGCAAATGCAAATAGATAAATAGGGACCACCTTGGTGGGAAGGTAACAGCGTTCCGTGTCTAAGTCGCACTGGCCATGTGACTACGGAAACTGTCGTCGGACAAATGCTGGCTCTATGGCTTGGAAACGGGGATGAGCACCGCCCCCTAGAGTCGAACATGACTGGACAAAAATTGTCAAGGGGAACCTTTACCTTTTAAGGGCCTGTCTACACTGTGAAAATTGGTTGAGTTGGTGCTTAAAAAGATCCATACCTTCAGTGCAATTTATTTAAGCTCATCCACAAAGGCAGAACAAAGAGCTATTTTGCATCTCAGTGACTCACCCCAAAAAGGCTGTGAGGCTCTTACTTTTGCCAGAAAGATACGGGGCCAGCTCTTAAAGGGGAAGGATGGATAGTTTTAAGTAGGAACACAAATGGACAGGCTCTAAGTTAGCAATGCCAGATGAATTCTGAGTGACTGTGGGGTTCCCAACCAAGGCTCTCCAGATGTTTCAGATTATCACTTTCAGAAGCCCTCGGCTGGTATGTTAGATGGTCTGGGACTCTGGCTATTGTAATCAAAATCATCTGGATGGCACCAGGGCAACTTTTCTTCCTTCTCAACAGCAATCCCAGCTATGATATATATCCCTTTTTGTAATCTGACATTTCAAACAACAAGAACAACAATTGTTATTGATTTTACTTATCTCATGAGGAGTAATGCAGTAGTACATTACCGCTGTGACTTCAAATGGCAAAATTTCTTGCCACTCATCTTCAGAATATGCTTATTAGGGCTTATCACCAATTAACAAACAAATAAACAAACAAAAAAGCCTAATCAGGCTATACTAAAACTAAATGCATTTTGTTTGGAATTAAGCTTCTCTAGAGTTAGTGGGACTTCCAGTGGATTGATAAGTCTTGCAATGTTCTAAAAATGCTATATAAAAGTGTCAGGAGACCTGTAGAAAGCAATGTATGGATGGAAAATGTTGTTTCTTAAAATTGGTCAATGAGACACTTCGCCAGTGGATCCATTCTGTGAGCAGAAACATATCCTGGATCCCTGATTTTAGCTTTCGTTTAATGCTAAACTATAAACTAAGGGATGTGGTGGCGCTGCAGGTTAATTTAATGCTAAACTATAAACTAAGGGATGCAGGTTAAACCACAGAAGCTTCTGTGCTGCAAGGTCAGAAGACAAGCAGTTGTAAGATCAAATCCACGCAGCGGAGTGAGATCCCATAGCGTGTCCCAGCTCCTGCCAACCTAGCAGTTCGAAAACATGTAAACATGTGAGTAGATAAATAGGTACCACCTCGGTGGGAAGGTAACGGCGTTCCATGTCTAGTTGCGCTGGCCACGTGACCACGGAAACGGTCTTCAGACAAAACGCTGGCTCTATGGCTTCGAAATGGGGATGAACACTGCGCCCTAGAGTCAGACACGACTGGACTAAATGTCAAGGGGAATCTTTACCTTTACCTTTACCTATATCCCAGCATCACAGACCCTATCCCTACCTCCCCTATCATCATCATCTTAGAACTGCAGAGTTGGAAGGGATTCTAAGGATCACCAAATCCAACTCCTGTCAAGGAGGCCCAGTGGGGGGAATTGAACTCCCAACCTCTGGCTCCACAGCCACAGACCTTAAACCAATGAGCTATCCAGTAATAATTTTATTTCCTTTGTTGTTTAAGCTTTCACTCTTATTTCTCCTCTGGTATGTGTTTTTAAAAGAAAGCTAACTTTCTCTGTGATGGTTGTTGTAGATTATCAGACACAACAGACCTTGAAATGTTGACTCGGCAGTAACACTGGGGTATTGACTTCATTTGCCAGTGCAGCTTTCCCAAACTATTTGCAGTTTGCTAAATATTTTTCCAAGAGGTGCCAGCCAGTCTCTCCCTCTGAGCTGCAGGGATGCGTCATGATGGCATTTTGCTGGTGCATAACTCTTGCTTACACATAATAAATGGCAAATTTACAGTATAAGGAAGACAGAACAATCAGGGGATCTACAGACAGTCAAGTATTAGCAGGAAGCTGTATATAGAGAACAATGAAGAAAAGATACATGAGCTTCCTGGCTTCTCAGATTTCATTGAGCAGCTTTTGCTGCTCCTTTTGTGAAACAGATACGCAGTTTCAGAGGCTAGACATCTACGTAGCCACCATTCATTCATCACTGTGGAATCAATGCCGTTACAACTTCCTGCCATTGGAATTTCAGAGGCCCCAGCCTGGCATGGGGCAGGCCATTCCAACACCACTCCTCCCGTTTATCAGGGAAACTCCAACAAAGCCAGAGAAAGTCTGATGCATAATCTACTTTCTATGGATTTAATTTCTGAAATCAAATCAGATAGCCTGTTTTCTAGATAGACAGTCTCCAAGGGCAGCCCCACATTGAATTCACTATAGTAGTTACAGTAATCAAATGCTGGACGTACATGGCCTTTGGTACATCAAAGTCAAGCATTGCTTGCTAAATTTCCAGATTTGGCGACTGTCTTGTTGTTTTTAACTTTGTTTTCTTTTATCTCACAAGGTGAAGAACAGGATATAGATTAATGGTACTTAAATTTTTCTTTGTGCAGGTATGGATTGATGCAGCCACCCAAATTTTTTACTCCTTAGGAGCCGGGTTTGGGGTCTTGATAGCTTTTGCCAGCTACAATAAGTTTGACAACAACTGTTACAGGTAATCCAGGTGCTGTTATTTTCTTTGTTCATCTTCAACCTTTAATAAATATTTATTAATAGATTAATAAATAAACGGATTAGGACCTTCCTACCTGTCTGTGTGCCTCTCCCTCAAAAGGTCCACCTGCCCCATCCACACCTCTTATAATGGGATGCTTCAGGTGGCCACTCTGAGGAAGGACCAGAAATCTCTTCATAGAAACTGGGCCTTCTAGGTGGTGACCACATCACTTTGGAACTCCCTTCCATCTGAGGTGTGATTGGACTCATCCCTCCCTGTCCTGAGGAGACAAGAGGAGACCTGGATATTTTTGAAAGCCTTTCACAGCCTTGCCTCCAATTAATTAATTAATTTTATGTTTTGATTATTATTTTTTATTCATTATTATTATATTATGTCTATTCTATTTCGTCTTGTTAGCCACCCTGAATAGTGGCTCTGCCACTAATTGCACAGGATAGATAGATAGATAGATAGATAGATAGATAGATAGATAGATAGATAGATAGATAGATAGATAGATAGATAGATAGATAGATAGATAGATAGATAGATAGATAGATACTGTAGATAGATACTGTAGATAGATAGATAGATAGATAGATAGATAGATAGATAGATAGATAGATAGATAGATAGATAGATAGATAGATAGATAGATAGATAGATAGATCTGTTTCTTCTTGAAGGCTTTTGATTACTAGTTTCTTTAGTGAGTAGTTAAAATAGAAAAAAACATGAAGAGATGAGTGTTTGTCTTCTGCAGGAGATTAACAGACAGACAGACAGACAGACAGACAGACAGACAGACAGACAGACAGACAGACAGACAGACAGACAGACAGATAGATAGATAGATAGATAGATAGATAGATAGATAGATAGATAGATAGATAGATAGATAATCAGTTAGAGGTTTATTTATTTTCCATTGTTTTATTTCAGATCTATAAATTGGAGCACTTAGTTCCTTTTAAATCAATGTGATCTTAAATAAGTATGGAAAGGAAGCAAAAAAATCAGACAGTTGTTTCCTCAGAAGGGGTTAATTCTTGAGTTTACCATATTAATGTTTTATAATATACTGTATAGACATTTTTCTCTCTTTCTCATTTCCATCTCTCTCTCTCTCTCTCTCTCACACACACACACACACATACACACAATAATAATAATAATATGAAATGATACCAAACCAGCAGAACAGTTTAAAATAATAAAAGAAGCACAGAGCTGCATTTATTGGAGTTAAGAAGAGAAAAGATTAGACAGCCTAGGTAAATATCAAGATCTTTGCCTGGCATCTGAAAATAATTACGTTTGGCACCAGGTGACTCTCCTCTGGGAGAGTATTCCAAGCAGAGTTTGGGGAAGTTACTTTGTTTGAACCACAGCTCCCAGGACACTTCAGTCAGCATATCCGCTAGACTTAGTACTAGAGGGTGTAGGGGGAAATGTAAGGTACGAATGTCACTCTTCCAAGTTTTGTTGGGAAGCCCTTCTCAGTGATGGCCCCTGGACTTCTTCTAGAGCATCTAGAGACATCCTCCAGGAGAGGTCTCGGAGGCAGCCGAGCTGATGCAAGAACAAGGGGTGTTTAGGACGGACATCTGGGGCAAGACTATTAATGTGTTGTCATTGTCATCGTCATCCCCATCGTTATAATATTGGAACTTATTAATGTGTTGTCATTGTCGTCATCCCCATCGTTATAATATTGGAACTGCAAGAGCTGGAAGGGACCTGATGGATCATCAAGTCCAGACCCTGTCTCAAGGAGACACAGGGGGGAATCGAACTCCTAACATCTGGTTCCTCAACCAGAGACCTAAACCACAGAGCTATCCAGCAGCTCTACTGCCTACCTAAATAGAAGTGTCAGCTTTTCCTCCACCATTAAAATTGACATCAAGACAAAATATTTGGACCAGGGAGTCTGTATTTTACTGGAAAGAATTGGGAAAGGGACATGTGTTTCAAGATTACACCAATGCAAGAATAAGGTGATACCCGTATTGAACCACTAAAAAAAAAGAGAGAGAGAGAGAGAGAAAAAAGGAACAAATTGCAAGCTTTTGTGGGCAAAATCCCACTTCCTCAGGCCACTGGGGATTGTTTCACATCTCCTGTGCTGAACTTTGCTAACAAGAAACCCACAATCTGAGCAGCAGGTCATTTTGTTGGCTTTTTGGCAACTTCTCAGCTGCCTGCAAGTACGCCTTGGTGATAATTAATAGCCATCATCTTGTAGCAGCGGTGACACCTGTAATCACCCATGGTTAACCAAATGACAACTCTTTGCCTTGGGCAATTAGATTACTGTTAATCGTAACCAATCACTTGGAAGTGTGTCTTTAAAAAATGAGGGGGGGGAACGGGCCGGGCGACTTCCCACATAATTGCTTTTCTCCTGTGATCTGAGTAAATTTACCATGGAACGTCTTTCTAAAAAATAAGGCCAACACTACCCCTGGATCTATTAAACAGAAAGGTATTTTGAGAAGAGAGCCACAACTGTTTAAAACGACTGAACAGTTATTAAATTCTTGTTTGCGCATTACTGAAAATATCAGTTTGCCCTGTTTTCTGAAATATTATGTCATCTTTAATCAACTTAATATAAGATTTGGATCCAAAGTAAATGGAATATACTGTGTTTGAAGGGAATTATCTGTCTGTCTGTCTGTCTGTCTGTCGTTCTATCTATCTATCTATCTATCTATCTCTCTCTCTCTGTCTCTCTGTCTGTCTGTCTGTCTGTCTGTCGTTCTATCTATCTATCTATCTATCTATCTCTCTCTCTCTGTCTCTCTGTCTGTCTGTCTGTCTGTCTGTCGTTCTATCTATCTATCTATCTATCTATCTCTCTCTCTCTGTCTCTCTGTCTGTCTGTCTGTCTGTCTGTCGTTCTATCTATCTATCTATCTATCTATCTCTCTCTCTCTGTCTCTCTGTCTGTCTGTCTGTCTGTCTGTCGTTCTATCTATCTATCTATCTATCTATCTCTCTCTCTCTGTCTCTCTGTCTGTCTGTCTGTCTGTCTGTCGTTCTATCTATCTATCTATCTATCTATCTCTCTCTCTCTGTCTCTCTGTCTGTCTGTCTGTCTGTCTGTCGTTCTATCTATCTATCTATCTATCTATCTCTCTCTCTCTGTCTCTCTGTCTGTCTGTCTGTCTGTCTGTCGTTCTATCTATCTATCTATCTATCTATCGAGTTGCTAGCAGATTCACATATGTTTTTAAACAAATTATAGGTTACAATTGTTTTTTTTGCTAATGATTTTCCGGCTTTTCCAGAGTTCATACTACTTACATGATGCCCAGTTCCACAATGTCTTTGACACTGGGGGCTTCCTTCCTTTCTTTTGTTATCTTCTGTTTTGCCTCAGGGACGCCTTGATGACCAGTACGATCAACTGTGTCACCAGTTTCATCTCAGGATTTGCGATTTTTTCTATTTTGGGCTACATGGCTCATGAATACAAAGTCGGCATCCAGGATGTGGCCACTGAAGGTATGAGGAAGGCTGCTCTCCAGCCTACAGCCCCAAAACTGAATTAATTCGCACTTGATCATTGTCATATGAATATTACTCAACAAGCTTCGGTCTCATTGCCATAAAGAATAAGGAATAGATTGACTATTTTCAAGGGGTGTTGGTTTGTTTTCTTCCTAGGTAGGAATGTTTCACTTTATATACTGCTTCTGTTGTACTGGTGTTATTAGTTGTGTAAAATGGCTATAGTGACACCTACTGACAGATTATAAACATTGCAACATAGCAGGTTTATGTTTCCAACCAAGGGATGTAGTGTGAGAAGAAACCCCCTGAACTAGTGTGACTGCTTCAGCAAAAGTCAGTTTTATCCAATGTGAACAACAATAATAACAATAATGCATTATACTAACTTGCCTTATGTTTATGAAATCAGGAGACAAATGCTATTTTCTTCTTTAGGACCCGGATTAGTTTTCATCCTTTATCCAGAAGCTATTTCAACGCTTAACGGATCAACGTTTTGGGCTATAGTATTTTTCATAATGCTGCTCACACTGGGCATTGACAGCTCTGTGAGTATTTTTCTCTCTCTCTCTCTCTCCCTCCTAACTCCCTCTGTTTACTAATCCTTGCTGTTCTTAGAAACATAGGCTAAGACAGTCCTTTGTACACCTAAAGAACTGTGATTTTTTTTGGTTAACTGAGCACCATCCACAGTCTTCTATAGTACATTACGACCCATTTCACATGGTCTCCCAGATTTTGGTGAGGTCCAGGGATCCATACTTTACAGTCAAGAGGATCTACGGATTCCAACTAGTTGAGCCTTCCTCAACCTGGTATTTTTCAAATACATTGGACTACAGTTCCCATTCTCCACTCTGGTTTGGGATTCTTGCTAAAATAATATTAGCTTGGTGTTTTTTTTTCCGTCCAGTTGAATTCAATTGGTGGTTTTAGTGTAATTCACAACCTGGTTTGTTGAAATGACATGAAAGGAAGGGGAAATGTTTTCATCAATGCAGATATGTATTTTATTTAACTATGAATTAAGAGGTTATCAGAAATGCCTGGTCTGTTCCAAATATTCAGAGTACTCCAATAGCTCTTGGCCTTTCTCATTCTTAACTCTGAAGTGGCATCAAGATTTCCATTCTGTCTATATTTAAATCAAGAGTCAGTTCACTTCTAGAAAAAACAAACACAGTCCCCGGCAAAAGTATATTGGTTGACTCTTTGTGATGCTCATGATGCCTCTTGCAATTTCATAAGAAAAGGTGGCCAAGAAGAAGAAGACAAGGCTTAAGGGATTTCAGTCCTTCACATGGAGGGAGGGAGGAACCCCTTCTGTAAGCTTTTCCATGATGAGCTTGGGTTTGTAGAAGTTCATTTGTTCTTAACATCTAAACCCATTCACAGATCCTTGTGCTGTAGAATAGAGATGACATCACTTTCAGTAAAGGAATGTCAAGTTTCTCCCATTCGACTTGATAACGTATGGAAATTATGAATTAACATTTTCAAAACTATGGACAGATAACCTGTGTGTCACCTGCTCATGCTGTCCGTTCCAAAAAGCGAAATCATAAATGATCTCCCAGAGAACATTTACTAACCAATGGTGCTTTTTTTTTGGGTCATCTCCTTCCTTAGATGGGTGGCATGGAAGCGGTCATCACCGGCTTAGCAGACGATTTCCAGATCCTCAAAAGGCGTAGGAAGCTTTTCACATTCTGTGTCTCCTTCAGCACCTTCCTGCTCGCTCTTTTCTGCATAACAAACGTAAGTATCCCCTTTGGGAGGGAATGCCTATATTAGGGCTCTCAAAATGAATTGATTTTAGGGAAACGAGGGAGGAAAATGTCCCATCCATTTTTAGGTCAATTGCGGGAGGCTCCAAAATGGACAGGCAGGGCGGAATAATTTTCTGCAGGGTTTGGAGTACCTAATATATGATACGATGTGGCATAAATATATTAAGGAAATCAGCCACCTGCACTTCTCAGCCAATACAAAACTTACAACGCTTTTAATGTTCTCTGCTCATGAGCATCAGCCTAAAATTACTGAATCGAAAGGTGACATGTTGGAACTCATTCGTTCAAACAATAATGTCTCCATTATTATGTCTGATAATTCCCTGGACTGTTTTCAAAGTCATACAATAATTCTGGTTTTCCCTTGGCTCTCATTTAGAAAAAGACAGTTGCTAAAGCATAGCACAGGAATTATAATTTTAGACCTTAGAACTGCAAAGCTGGAAGGGACCCTATGGATCTCTAACTCCAGCTCCTGTCAAGGAGGCACAGTGGGGAATCAAACTCCCAACCTCTGGCTCTACAGCCAGATACCTAAGCCAGTGAGCCTAACAGTTTGGTTATCTGGAGCAGCCGTGTCTCTTTTGCTTTCGCCTTCAGTTTTTGCTATAATATTAACATTTATTTATATCTACGAAATGTATCTGCTGTTCCACGTAAGAAATGATCTGGGGGTGGGTCAGAACCACCAACAAGACAATTTAAAAAAAATTGGAGCATGCAATTTGAAAGTAATGTGTTGAAAGTTAATGTTGTGTGGTTTGTTTAGTCCAAAAATGTGTGTTATAAAAAGCTGTTTTCAGGTGCTTACAGAACTTTTTCCTTTTTTTTTTTTTAAGAAAAAAACTTTATCAATGATTCTCAAAAACCTCATTAGAATCAACATAGTAGTCTTCTTCCTTGATTTGATTCAGTGTATTGCACAATTTAAAATCATGGACACATCTGAAATATAGGTATAATTAAAAACAAATTTTAAAACAAGTTAACATGTTAAGTCAATTAGATAATAATCATCACCTTAGAAGTGCAGGGCTGAAAAGGACCCTATGGATCAGCGCATCCAGACCCTACCAAGGAGGCCCAGTGGGGAATCGAACTCCCAACCTTTGGCTCCACAGCTATCCAGCAGTTCCTTTTTGACCAGATGTGAGCTACTTGAATAGTGTTACCTTGGTCATCTACTAGATCTTACAGAGGTGCCTCGCTTGACAAAGATAACTCGTTCTGTTGAAATCGCTGTTAAACAAAATCCTCGTCAAGCAAAACGAAAAAGCCCATTGAAATGCATTGAAACCGGTTCAATGCGTTCCAATGGGCTGAAAACTCACCATCCAGCAAAGATCCTCCATAGGGGCGGCCAGTTTTGGTGCCTGTAAAGCAGGGAATCCGTCCTGAAAACACAGCAGGGAGCCATTTTGCACAGTGGGTGGCCATTTTAGAACCGTTTCAGCTGTTTCAGAATCGTTTACGAAAAATCAGTTCCCGAAGCAAGGAAAAGCCATCGCAAAAACTTCATCGTCAAGCGGTTTCGTCGTTTAACGAGGCAATCATTAAGCAAGGCACCACTGTATTTGGTGGACACATCTGAAATATAGGTATAATTAAAAACAAATTTTAAAACAAGTTAACATGTTAAGTCAATTAGATAATAATCATCACCTTAGAAGTGCAGGGCTGAAAAGGACCCTATTGATCAGCGCATCCAGACCCTATCAAGGAGGCCCAGTGGGGAATCGAACTCCCAACCTTTGGCTCCACAGCTATCCAGCAGTTCCTTTTTGACCAGAAGTGAGCTACTTGAATAGTGTTACTTTGGTCATCTACTAGATCTTACAGAGGTGCCTCGCTTGACAAAGATAACTCGTTCTGTTGAAATCGCTGTTAAACAAAATCCTCGTCAAGCAAAACGAAAAAGCCCATTGAAATGCATTGAAACCGGTTCAATGCGTTCCAATGGGCTGAAAACTCACCATCCAGCAAAGATCCTCCATAGGGGCGGCCAGTTTTGGTGCCTGTAAAGCAGGGAATCCGTCCTGAAAACACAGCAGGGAGCCATTTTGCACAGTGGGTGGCCATTTTAGAACCGTTTCAGCTGTTTCAGAATCGTTTACGAAAAATCAGTTCCCGAAGCAAGGAAAAGCCATCGCAAAAACTTCATCGTCAAGCGGTTTCGTCGTTTAACGAGGCAATCATTAAGCAAGGCACCACTGTATTTGGTGGACACATCTGAAATATAGGTATAATTAAAAACAAATTTTAAAACAAGTTAACATGTTAAGTCAATTAGATAATAATCATCACCTTAGAAGTGCAGGGCTGAAAAGGACCCTATTGATCAGCGCATCCAGACCCTATCAAGGAGGCCCAGTGGGGAATCGAACTCCCAACCTTTGGCTCCACAGCTATACAGTATACCACTGTATTTGGTACACGTGGTGGGGCATAAATTATAATGTGTAGCGGTAATGCATAGTTTTAGAAAAGCAACACCAATGTCTTAACTTTTTCAGTAATACCCCCAAATCTTTTCAAAAATATCCCCAGAAACAGCCAGGCTCCTATTACCCAAAGCCTCCATTCCCCTGATCGATGTGTGTTGAATCAAACTTCTCAAAGAGCTGAAAGGGACTGGCTAGGCATACAGGGAATCAAGCAAGTAAAAATTTGCCTGGCCAAAGCTCTGAATCTTTAGGGATGTCCTGAAAATGCTTTTTCATCTTCTCGAATGTTTTTGCACAGTGGGTGGCCATTTTAGAACCGTTTCAGCTGTTTCAGAATCGTTTACGAAAAATCAGTTCCCGAAGCAAGGAAAAGCCATCGCAAAAACTTCATCGTCAAGCGGTTTCGTAGTTTAACGATGCAATCATTAAGCAAGGCACCACTGTATTTGGTACACATGGTGGGGCATAAATTATAATGCGTAGTGGTAATGCATAGTTTTAGAAAAGCAACACCAGTGTCTTAACTTTTTCAGTAATACCCCCAAATCTTTTCAAAAATATCCCCAGAAACAGCCAGGCTCCTATTACCCAAAGCCTCCATTCCCCTGATCGATGTGTGTTGAATCAAACTTCTCAAAGAGCTGAAAGGGACTGGCTAGGCATACAGGGAATCAAGCAAGTAAAAATTTGCCTGGCCAAAGCTCTGAATCTTTAGGGATGTCCTGAAAATGCTTTTTCATCTTCTCGAATGTTTCCACTTAGGGTGGAATCTATGTACTTACCCTGCTAGATACATTTGCTGCCGGGACGTCCATCTTGTTTGCTGTTTTAATGGAAGCCATCGGCGTTTCCTGGTTTTATGGTGAGTTGGTATAACTCCATTATTTTTATTATTGCAAACTGATCCAGTGCAAAAATAGCAATTAACATGACAAAAAGAACACCAACAATCTTTGGTTCCAAACATTGTTAACTACCAAAGATTGTCAATAAGCAATGCCTTGGCTTCCAGGATAGCTCCAGTTCATTTATTTGTTTGCTTCTTATATTCTGCATTTCTGTTGAACTGACATCAAAGTGGCTCACAGGGTAATAATCAAAAACAGTACCAAAACTTCGACATGATGTTTACATATTTGTAAATAAGAAGAGACTCCCCATGTGCTACAGTGAGGGAAATCAAGTAGTAAGTCAAACCTAAAGTAGACCCATTGAATCAATGGAACTTACAGAGGACTCCACTCACCAGACCCTTGTTGGTTCAATGGGCCTCCTCTAAGTTGCAGCTTCTTACTGATTTCAGCCAATATGTTTGGAAATTTACTTTGTTCTGCCAACGATTCACTAAGCACTTCAGAAAAGACAAAAAAGAACATTGTCCCACAAACAATATAAAGCTGATTGAAAGCGATCTTTCTCTCTTCTCCTAATAAAAACCAGTTTTGAACGGTTCAGGTTCAGAGAAGTAATTCTGCTCCAGCTGTGTAATTTCAGACTTTATAATGCACCACTTAAAAAGTCAACATTAAGTACTGTCATTAAAAATGGTTTTTAGGATTGTCTTTTTAATCATCCAGATGTTCTGTTTCTGTGTTTCATCCATATCCTGCGTGCAATATAATGAGGAACACAGTTGTGCTTTTCCAGTTCCTATAGTCAAAGGAAAGTGATCTCCATCCTGTCTCCCACCTAATCAGAACATTACTTCACTCCTGTTGTTTTGTTCTGTCCAGAGGAAAAGCATTCTAGGACCAGTTTGGTGAGGGAGGAATCCAGGAACACCTTAAGCCTAAGAACCTTGGCTTTCCACCAGTTACTTTCTGAGTACCATCTTCATGATCTGCTTATAGCCATCAGAGAAACATCTGGCTGGTCCCAATGGGGACAAGAGTAGATGGGTATCTTCATTTAAGGCATTAGGGTTCATATGTGCCCTTATATTCACCTTGGCTTTTTAGAGAGGGATTTGCAACTGAATTTGAAGCATGGTTTAAGTAACTTTTCCTCACACATCAGGCAGAGTCCTGCTATGAATTAAGAGCAGATTCCAGGAACCTATTGCAGGAAATATATCAACCATAAACCTGTATTCTTGTAAACCCCAGCTATGATGCTTGATCATTTATGATAGCTTTGGGAAGAAGTAAACACATCATGATGTCTCACTTGGGCTGGTCAAGTGGGAGAAAAGACCATCCACCACAAGTCAGGGCTCATGTTATTACCAAGAATGTGCCCATCTCAACCTAACGTTTTTGCGGTGGGATGCCCCATTGTGACATGCAAATCCTCATTTGAATGCCCAAATGCTCTTCCCACTCCCAGGTTGATATTACTAGTTGTATCAATCAGTGGTGTGGCATTAAGTGTTTTTTCCCCCAGAAATTGCAGAGAAATATAAAGGTTGCTGCTTCATTGTATGAACTTTTGAGGATTAGAAGCTTAAGATGGGTAGCTTGTGTCTTTTTTTACATTCAGCCAGTCTTTCTGTGCTTGTTCTATGTTTGTTATGCTTCTCAAAGAGAAAGGACACAATTTTTGCTCAGAGAATATTGACAAAATCTGAAGCCCCTGGTGGGGAAAAATGCTCCTTGTCTTTTGCTACAGATGAGAAATAACCTCATTTCAGAATTCCTTATCACAGTGTCTCTTGTTGTGGAGACCCATGACAACAAGGGATCTATATATATTCCCCTTTCATTAACACATCACAAGCCATTTCTCTATAAAGCATGGTTTGTTATGGCTGCGGGCAAATGTTCAAACTGATAATTAGTTGAAAGTGGCATAGGTTCTGTCCACCTCTTGTTTTCTGGGTTAAATTTCCTTCCCCTCCTCCTGCTGTCTCCTTCCCATCATGCTCTACTTACCTAGGTGACCCTCATGAACCTCTCTTTAGCTAAGAGGCTCTCTCAACATTTTAGCACCGAACACACAATTTTTATTTTGTTTTTCCTGAAATACTTGTATGGTAATTAAAGTGTGCCCGAGACGATTTTGGGGAAACCGCAATTCCAGGTGTGTTTGGCAGATTAATTATTATTATATAGGGGTGCTTACAAATGCCTGTTACACGTTAGGTGTGTTATTTACTAAGACAAACTGCAATCTTTGCCAACAGAGCAAATGTTGCTTATAGGGGCTCAGTTTGTCTGTTTAGTCCTGATTATTGTAGTTAGTGCTTTGAAAGAGAGATTTCAAAATGGTTTCCACTCCAGCTGTACCCTTGAAAATGTGCACATGTTTACTACTTTCTTTTCTTTCTGACAAGTTTTCTGACATTGTTTGCCTCATCCACTGTCACTTGAATTCATTTAGTGGTTGTGTTCCTTCTCAAACTCCAACCAGTGAACATCATTATAGGGAAACCTGATGACATCATGAAGTTATGTAGTTAATCAGGTGTTGCCCCATGATGTCATAACTGAGGTTACGTGAAGCCAATTGGCAACCCTAGACATTACTTCCTGGATTAGCACTGCCCTCACTGAAGATGTATAAACAGTTTTAGCCCCCAGTTTGAAGAAACATCTGGAAATCATTACAAAGGAGGACTTGGATTTTTGTTATCATAACGTTTTAAAAGATGGCAGTCCATCAGAACCATAACTGGTTTCCAAAATCATCATGGCAATGTGGGAAAGTTTTTGTTTGTGGTGAACTTATGATATTTCACTTGCACTGAAATGAGTGTGAATGCAAACGAACTTTTAGGGCTATGATGAGACAGATGTAGCCCAGATGTGCACACCTTTATCAGAATCACATGAGAACTGAACCAAATTAGAGTTGTAGTTGATGGAACCTGGGGGTGGTGGTGGCAGCCATTGGTTTCTCACTGCCCATTGACTGTGATGACTTCACAAAGGTAGCTCTTTGGCCAACTCTTTGCCATTTCATAGGTCTACAAGAGAATTCTGATATTTCTGGTGTCTGTCCCAAATGTGACTATGAAAAAAAAAGTGTGCTGCTTATATACTGCCCGATAGTACTGAAAGCACACTCTGGGCAATTTACAAGTTAATTATGCAGGCTACATATTGTCGCTCCGGTACTTATTTTACCAACCTCAGAAGGATGAACGGTTGAGTAAACTTTGAAACAGCTACCTGAGATTGACACTGTGGGTGGTGAGCACAGTTTCGGATGCAGTACAACAATTTAACCACTGTGCCACGAGCCAATCAGTTATAACTAACAGTTTACCAATATTCAGTGGATTGGTGGTAACCAAACAGCTGCCACAGAAAACATTATAGTGACCTCTACAGTCGACTATAACAAGTGTTCTGCTATCCGTGTCTTTCTTTCACTTGTGATCAATCTTCAGGTGTGGACAGATTTAGTGAAGACATCCAACGAATGATGGGCTTCAAGCCAGGCCTCTACTGGAGACTGTGCTGGAAATTTGTGAGCCCTGCTTTTTTATTGGTAAGATTTTCTGTCCTCTTGGTGGAAATAATACTTGTATATCTATCTCTGTCAGAGCTGCTGCTTTGGTGATAGCTCAGAATCTACAATTTGTTTGTTAGTCCCAACTAACAAATGTTGAATCAGCTGCTGATTGTAAGTCAATGGTGTAATAAATCCCATTGATTCAGTAGGTTTATTTCGGTAGCTCCTAGCATTTGGATTTATGGTCATGGGTTCGAATCCAATCTGTCTGTATGAATATGAACTGAAAGAGAGTGGGAGTATGAGGGATGGGAAGGCATACCATATCCCAGCTGTTCACTTTAGATGAAGACTGATACACGGTAATGTATGCAGGGACATAGGTCTTCATGCCAAAAGGTATGTGCATGGGAATCTTGGTACTCTCCAATCCACTCACACTGGAAAGTGGGGGGCTGTTTAGGATACATTTTGATGAGTTTTGTGTAGGAGGTCGATTGCTTCACAACTGTGCCTACTGACATTGGGTCCCCAGATGTTTTTGGACTACAACTCCCAGAAATCCTGGCCAGACCAGCTGGTGGTGAAGGCTTCTGGGAGTTTTAGTTCAAGAACATCCAGGGACTCAGGATTGGGAACCATTGTTTTGGAGTCTCAGGGACAGGAAGATCAAAGGGCAAAAATGAGAGATATTGTTTCTTTTTTTAAAAAAATAAATAAATTATTTTTGTTGGGTGGGCAGGTCCCCCCTAGATCTTGAGCTATAGTTGTGGAGAATCCATTAAGTAATTCCTAACATTAGATATTTATTTACTTACTCTTAAAAGAAGAGGAAAGGCTTAAAGGCCATTTCGTGTCTTTTAAATATTTCTACTGGAAAGATTTAGAGTTATTTTTTTAAAAAAAATATCACCTACTGCAAAATCCAACAATGTTTTTCACTAGCTCTGATCATTGAGTTTTGTAAGACCATTTAGTGCATGATTGTGGAATTTCAATAGAAATAAAAAACAAATGTGGTCCACTTTTCTGGAGTCTGCTGTCGTAGAAGATTTGAAGAATGAATCCCAGCTCCTAGTTATGGTGATGAGCACCAGATGCTTATTGAAACAAATGTGGAACCAATCAGGAACCAAATAGAAAAGCAAAAATTCTGGTAGTTTGGTCCAAATGTTGTGTAAAGGAGGCATGAACTCAGTAGACCCTGGTAAACATTTGTGTGAATTTAGGGAAGCGTGCATTTGGGCTGAATATTAGGAGAGTTATTGGCTTAAATCTACTTGCTAGTCCAAACTAGAGTAGACTCATTGAATAAAATGAATTTACATACGTGTTGCCCTGAAATTCAGCAATTGATGCAATGGGTATGTTCTAGTTGGGACTAGCAAGTGCATTTACACCTGCATTTCCATCTGGCTGCAGAGACAGAGGTTGGGAATTCAGTTCCCCATTGTGTATCCTAGAAGAGGCAGCCTGTGTAGCCTTGGGCAAGCTGCACATTCCCAGGATTTCTCCAGAAGAAGGGAGAGCTAACCCACTTCTGAATATTCCCTACCTAGAAAACCCTGAAAAGGGTAGTCATAAGTTAGAAATGATTTGACTATGTATAAAGTGTGTAGTAGTAGTAGTAGTAGTAGTAGTAGTAGTAGTAGTAGTAGTAGTAGTAGTAGTAGTAGTAGTAGTAGTATCTTCATCATCAAAAACAACCACCTTGACAACAAACTGGGTAGGTCAACACACAAGTTCACCTGGTTGCAGTCCATTAAACTTTGGCAAGACATAATGTATCGCTATTTCAGTTATAGCAAAGTTTTCAAAAGCTGTATCTCTATAAAGTAGCATCCGCAAAACGTTAATCTGGAGGTTTATTTTGTTCCTCTATGGCAGTGGTTCCCAACCTTGGGTAACTCAGCTGCACAGGCTTCTGTGAATTGCAAGCCAAGAACACCTTGGTGACCTTAGGTTGCGGACCACTGTTCTGTGGTGATGTTTAAGTGGCCACCATGCCACCTGCTCCAGAACAATCCTCTGGAGATGATGTCATCTGCCAAGTAGATTGATAGACCTGGGTTTCTATGATATTAGACTTTTGTTAGTGGTAGCATGTTGCACCAAATATAGTGTGCTACTAAAGAAAACGTCCATTCGCAATTAAGCTTTTTCTTTGACATCTAATACCTTTAACTTGATACTTGAGTGACAGACCTAATAACTAACATTGCAGGCAAAATTGGGGGCCTTTCTTTGTGATGAGATCTGACCTGACACTCAGTATTAAACAAGAAGGTGCATTAAGGACTGGTCTCCTTCCCGACATTGTCGTTTGTGCTTGTGATTTGATTTCTAATAGCCATGGTTAAAAAGCAAATGTCAAACGATGTTAGCAGAGGCCATCGGAATTTTGTACTAAGGACACACCTCAGACTTTTGGGAAATGAAACAGATGCAAGAAACGTGTTCAGAAAAGTATTTTGCCTCTGACGTCTTTGGCTAGCAGTGTACATCTTACTGGGGTAAATTTATAGTTCTGAGTGATAACAGTCTCCATGAAAGCCAGTTCTAGGAGGTGGAGAAGGGTAAAAAAAATCTGTTCTGGTTCACTTTTTTTAATCAGTTTTGCCAAACATTCTTAAAAGGTGAAAGTGGGAAAGAGTGAGAGGTAAATTTGGTCCTGCAAAGAATTTTCTTAAGCAGAATATTCCACAATTAACAAAAGTCAAATAATAAAACCTTTTTTGCCCATTCCTCTTAGACAGTAACATATACCTCACACCACTTCCCCCCCCAAGCAGAAACCAAATAAATATTGTTTTTACCTTCTAACGGTCATATTCTAAGCAGAAATAACCCTTGCAGTTCTACAGGTTGAACTCAGTTTGATCAGACTCTAGAGGACCAAGGTAAGCATAAATATAGGATCCGTGATCATTTTGAGATTATCTGCATGCCAGAATCTGTTTTGGATATGAAGAATCTTCTTGGTTTTTTCAATTCGCATTAGGAGTAAATTTAATGGTTGAAAGGCAACTGATCTCTCTGCTCTTTTCCCCTTCTCCCTATAGTTTGTGGTAATAGTCAGTGTAATAAATTTCAAGCCTCTGACTTACGATGAGTACGTCTTCCCATCTTGGGCCAATTCTGTCGGATGGGGGGTGGCATCGTCATCCATGGTCCTTGTACCTGCGTACATTCTGTATAAATTACTGAAGGCACGAGGGACCTTTAAGCAAGTGAGTTTAAAGCAATGAAATGTCATGGAAATGTTCTTTGTGAAATGAAAATCGCCAGTGTTAAGCTAAGAGTTTGCTTTCTTTAATTCCACAAACGCTTTGAGGAGAGATGACCTTTCAGAAACAGCTTCTAAGTAATTTGCCGCTTCGACAGAGGATTTAGGACTCTTTTTGACTTCCTGTCCTGGACATTTGAAGCTAAAGCAAACCCCCAGAATTTGACCTATGATGGGCCAAACTAGAAATGCAGCAGTCATAAGATGTTCCCAGGTTTTTGGGGTTTTTTAATGTATTTCAAAGCAGCTAGGGACTCTTGCTAATTAGATCAAGGAAGTTGTTGGAAGAGGGCGCTTTTGAACCTTCCTTGCACAGTTGATGCCATTTCCCCCTGATTTCAAGTTTCTTTCCTGAAAGTATAGTTAGCTGTGTTGGAAGAACATCGTGTGCAACACGAGTAACTGTAACTGTTTTGCAGCAGATCTATCAGAAGCTCTGTCATGTGTGATCAGCGAAAGAGTTCAGAAGGAAAACAGGAGCTAGCCTTTATCGTGTTTGCGAAGGCTTTCACGGCCGGGCTCTAATGGTTGTTGTGGGTTTTTCTGGCTCTTTGGCCGTGTTCTGAAGGTGGTTCTTCCTAACATTTTGCCAGTCTCTGTGGCCGGCATCTTCAGAGGAGCATAGAGTGCTGTCCTCTGAAGATGCTGGCCAAAGAGACTGGTGAAATGTTTGGAAGAACAACCTTCAGAACACGGCCAAAGAGCCTGAAAAACCCACAACAACCACTAGCCTTTATCTCTTGTAACAATGATCAAATGTAACAGATCTCCAAAATTCCTGGGATTGAAGTAAAGGCAAAGGCTTTCCAGAGATCCAGTCCTGATTTCCCCCTATAGGCCAGTATACTGAATCTCTACTGCATGGAAAGTCACATCAGTGTAGTAATGCAGGATTGTGCATTTATATTGTATTTGTATTGCATATTGTCTAGATTTTTAAACAGTAGTCATCATCTGTACGATGGCAACACTTGTACAAATAAAGCCATCCCATGTTACTATGCTAGCAGGACATTCTGCACAGTCGAAGCACGGCAAGGTCGGGCAATATCTCTGTGTAAAATGTCTAGTTTGTCCTTAAGGGCCTTGTTGAGATGGAGAGGCAGAACAGAGCTAGCACCGCAGTTTCCAAACTTTCTAAATCCGTCGTCCAAATTTGGCCTTCAAGTTAAGTGTTCTGACTCTGAATCTAAACCTGACAACCAGATTTGAAAGCTGACACTTTATACTTAGCTAAATATGTCAACCAAGTCCATATAATGTGGTTTCTTGGTATTCAGATATATATTGCTGCTGCACATGATGAATTTAAAGTCTCACATATAGGCTTCTGTTGAATGCCTGGTGGCAAATATTGTCAAAGACGGTCACACAATGATGGCCAATATATTCCAGCGATCAGATGTGGTCGAACATTGAGTAACATTGGAATGTCAAATGCTACTAATGAAAAACAGCAAATACTATAAGACTCCAGGAAAAGTTGGAAAACATTCACCATAAAGAACTGCTGGATAGCTTAGTTGTTCAAGTATCTGTTTGTACAACCAGAGGTTGGGAGTTAAACTCCCCACTATTCCTTTTTGACAGGGGCTGGACTCGATGAGCCATAAGGTCCCTTCCAGCTCTGCAGTTCTGAGATGATGATGATGATGATGATGATGATGATGATGATCATTCAAGGAGAATAATGTGATAGCACATTCTTCTGTACTTCTGACAACATCCTAGGAAACCTCCTACCCAGAAACCAGAAATGTGCCAGTCATTTTCTTTGGACTCCAAAATTGTCCAAAGAACAATTATTTGTCTTTTAAAATCTGCACAGATAGAGAGACTGCACTGTTTTCCAGTTGCTGAGGGCTTTGGCTTCTAAGGCGGAAAAGTGCACCCCATTATTCTGCATCCCAATTTTGCCACAGTTCCCTCCTAATTCCCTTCTCTGAACTGTGCAGATTGAAGATTGGTAATGATGTTACTGTTTCAGCGATGTGGAGAGGGGGGATTTGCTGCTTGGGTAACAGCCTATCCTCCATATTATTCCACCCAGGCTTTGTGCTCTGGAGAGGACACTCTCCAAGTCCTCCATACAGAGCACGTTACCATAGTCTCTTGAGACTGAAGGATGCCTAATCTAATCACCCCAGCAGGAGAATTTTCTTCTTGGCACTGCAAAGAAAGAAAGAAAGAAAAAACCCCACACAACCGTGTACAATATGGGGATTTAAGAAAAAAAATTCTTTCACCCCCGCAGGAGAATTTTCTTCTTGGCACTGTAAAAAAAGAAAGAAAAAACCCCACACAACCCTGTACCATATGGGGATTTAAGAAAAAAAATTCTTTCCCCTTTTGGTGTATTTCCACCCTTCAGTAATGTAGGATGTAAGCACCACTTTTGAGTTTCACATTTGAATGCCTTATGCTATGAGGCAGTCTACCACTTTCTGGTAAACTGCCCATCTCCAGACACCTGCTGAATAGCTGCCATGGTGTGCCATAAACTTTACACTTAGCCAAAAATTGGAAGATCTTGAAGTTTGGAACAGTTGTGTGAGTAAATGACCTAGATGTATTATTCAAGAGCTTTGGCTACTCCTACCTCAGTGCTTCCCAACTTTGGTTCCCCAGATGTTCTTGGACTACAACTCCTAGAAATCCTGGCTAGCACATCTTAGTGGTGAAGGCTTCTGGGAGTTTTAGTCCAAGAGCATCTGGAGACCTAAGTCTGGGTATCACTGTCCTATTGATGTCATTTCATCTATCTAGCTTTATCATTCCCTCCAAGTATGTATGCACTGGTGCCAATATATGTCTCCTGAACGGTTATTTTATCCTCTTTCTCTCCTCCGTCTTTAGAGACTAGCTTATTGCATCACTCCCGAGAATGAACATCATCTTGTACAAGACGGGAATGTGAGACAATTTAAGGTTAGTGTTCTCCTGACTTTGAGGTCTTCATTCTGAGATAGGTATGTGTATATCCACCATGGCTCTTCTCATCTTCCCATGTGTTTCATGTGTATATATGAAGCACATAATAGAAGGTATGGTGCATTGAACCAAAGGTTTCTCTAGCCCATTGTTGTGACTATCCTGATGTTCTAGTGAGAAGCCCCAATCAGGCAGGAAGGCATTAGCTTTGCCTTCCATGAATTTCTCCAGTTCTCTTTGAAGGCCATCCAGTTTGGTCACTATCAGAATGTATTGGGCTGGTTTTATCAAAAATAATAGTTTTCATCCATTGATTCTCCAGATGCAAAAAAACCAAGCACACATTTACAGGATGGTGGATACTTGGCTCAATAATAGTGAGAGAAAGATACTGGGATTGTTGTAGATCACACACTGAATATGAGCCAACAGTATGACGTGGCTACAAAAAAAGGCAAATGCTATTTTAGGTTGTATTAACAGAAGTATAGCCTCCAAGTCCCATAAAGTACTAGTCTCCCACCCCCAGCACTGGGTAGGCCTCATCCAGTGTATCGTGTCCAGTTCTGGACACCACACTTGAAGAAGGATGCTAACAAACTGGAACAAGTTTAGAGGAGGCCAAGAGGGATCAGGAGACTGGAAAGCAAGCCCTATAAGGAAAGACTGAAAGAACTGGGCATGTTTAGCCCTGAGAAAAGAAGACTGAAGGGAGACAGGATCACACTTTTCAAATACTTGAAATGAAGGGGCAGGATCTTTTCTTGCAAGACACGTAATAAAGGGTTTAAGCTACAGAAAGTCAGATTTAGGCTGGTTATCAGGAAAAATCATGTTAGAGCAGTATGACGATAGAACCAATTGCCTTGGGAGGTGGGGACTGCTCCAACACTAGAGGCATTCAAGAGAAAATCGGACAGCCATCTGTCAGATCTGCTTTGATTTGGATTTCTGCACTGAGCAGGGGGTTGGACTTGATGGCCTCATAGGCCCCTTCCGACTCTCATTATTCTATTATTTTATGATTCTGTGTGTTGTTCTTCAGTTGCCAGAATCACTGACCATTGGTCACTTGGGCTGAAAGCTTCTCAAAGTTCAAATCCAAAACTGCTAGATGTTGAGCACTATTGATATAGCGAGATCCTGCATAATTGTTCCAAAGAACTGTTAACCTTTTCTCTGAACAGGTCTCATATCATAACCCTAAAAGATTTTATATTCAGAGTCTACACGTGCTCTTATTTATTTGTTCATCCAATGATACATCTACCACTGCACTTCCTTATCTCAATGTGATGTTTTCTTTTGGAGAACCCAATGAAATGACAAGCAGTACGAGTTTTTTCCCCAGACAAATCATTTTTCTCCCATCCTTGCAGCTCCAACATTGGCTGTCTATATGATGACTGAGCAAGTTGAAGGGGAAAGCCAGTACTTTATAAAGCTAACTTGGAACTACCTGAGAAGTCACCGCTGAAGTTCTCAACCATGCCTGATCCTTGTCGGTTGGCTGGCTAGCTGGCTGGCTGGCTGGCACAGAAGATCTTCTCCAGATTTCTTTGTGTGACAACTCATCTTCCACTCTTCTTCACTCCCAGTTGATCGGTTCCTTTGAATAAACTTCCCAAATAGTGTTTATTTTTATTTTAATGTGGTTCGCAGCATGTGCTGGCCTTGATCCTTACCAATAAGGATCCTCTTTGCTAGTCAAAAAAGAAAAGTTTGGTGAAGAATAATCAGTGTTTAGTTGATATCTGTTTCATGTGGGGCAGATACATCAACTTTTAAACTTTTTTTAAAGACATGGTATACATTACAGAAAAATCTGTGGGCATTAGATAGCTGTGAAAGAGTTGACCCTTCTCAGTTGGATCCTCAACAGGATTCACAAAATCTTGTGACCAAGATTCGGTGGTGAACTCATGGGATCATAGAATTAGAGGCCACCCACTCTTCTCCCCCTTTGAAGCAGGGATATTAATGACTACTTGAAAAATTTCTCAGCTATTTTCCTAGTTTCTCCATGCTAAGACTGTTTGCCAAGGCTCCCCCCTGCTTTAGTGACATTTCCCAGCTTCCTAGAAAAATCAGATCACAATCTAATTTCCCTCCCCCTTTTTAACAATTATTTTTGCCTATTGTTCTGCACAGGAAACAACCGAATCCTAGACAGCTGGATGCCTTTTGCAGGTTAATTCTGCACATGAAAGATGCCAGCCTGAATAGAATTTGTAATAAATGTGCACAGCTTGATGTTTCTCTTGCCCTTTTTGTGCAAATCCTGTGTAGGAAAGATTCCATTCTGCACAGGAATTGTAATAATCCTGTGCCGTTGAATGTTTCTTGCACAAAAAGCAGACCATGGGATTTCTTGGAGGGAAAACATCACGAAGATGAATCTCCTTTGAGGAGAAAAGGACTGTTTCCTCTATTCCATGTTGAGACGTTGATGTTGCAGGATTTACATCCCTTGATGTAGGACATTTAAACCTTGTCCCTTCTCAACAGATGTTCCGACCTATAGGGATGTAACTGCTCCCTTGTCTCATCCTTGCGCACAAGTACAAAGAAGTGCAAAATTCTTCCCCTCGCTGGCGAGGGTGCTGAGAAATTTCCTGGCACTCTTGGTAGACTTCTCACATTGTCAGAAAAAGATCTTGCTAATTTTGTGAATTGCTGCCCCCTCCCTTTATGCACAAGACAGCAGACTTGTATGATTTCAGATTCCTTTCATGATTTGAAGCACTAGATGGGTTTTTTGCATCTTTCTTGGCAAATCACCCAGTATTCCTGTGCTTTGCATTTGGGAGAGGTGCACATGCTTTACTTTCTCAAAGGGAAATGACATTGGAGACACTTTGTGCAAACTACAGAGAGCTTGAATGGGCAAAAAGGAAATCATCTTCCTGATTGCATAGAATACTGTGAGACTTTAAGGTTCCTCACCGAGATACCTTGCCATGTTGAGATGGACCACATGGATATGAACAAGGAATTTAGCAAACATTCTTTCAGTGTTTGCTTTCTATCACGCCTTTACTTGGAGTCCTCCAGAAACAGAATAATCAAATCATGGGATAATAGTGCAAGAAGTTAGAGGAAGTGTTATAGGTTATCACAGCCAACTTATTCTTCTGGCAAATAGGGTGTGCAGGTTCTGTTTCAAGATCTCCAACAGAGAAGATCACACAACCTTTCAGTGTTGTGATTCTAGACCACAGCCTGAATGTCTTTGCTCCAAATCCCAGAATCCCCAAGACAAAAGCACTTAGTAGACAAAGGTCTACTAGAACTGCATTTCTGGAACACGACCCAGCTTCTGATGGCACATTATCTGTGCTGTACAGTTCCACTCTGTGTGAACTGAATTTCACTCTGTATAGCTACACTGTGTCATTATAGCAGTTTGATACCGCTTTACCTGTCATGGCTTCGTCTTGTGGAATCCTGGGGTCTGCAGTTTTGTGAAAGCACTTAGAATTTTTTGCTAGGTAGCAGTTTAGTGAATTCCCTGAGCTACAGCACAGATTCTAAGGAACACAGACAGACACACACCAGCTAATGGAGGAATCCTGTAGGATGGTGCCATGGCAGTAAAAGTGGTATCAGACTATTATAACAGTGTAATGTAGTTTCATGCAAATGTTATTTCAATGCTCACTCATGCTCTTTCTCTCTGTAACCTGCATGTCTTGTTAGCATTCTCCCTCACCGCGGCTCTTCGCCTGCACCTCTGAACTCTCCAAGTTGGTGTTCAAGTTGGCAAGCTTAGGATTCATTTATGCCTTTTTCAGAATCAAGTGTTGTGAGAAGTTTGGCAATGGTTTGGCGGTCAGGTTTGCTCCACCGCTTCTTCCTTTTGCACATCCGCTGAGTGTTGTCTGTTTCGATGGCCAAATCTAGACCTCCTTTGACTCTGATGTGCCTTAAGATCATTCCGCCCTTCTAAATCAAACTGCTCTGTCCAGGCGCATGATATAAAGCTTATAGTGGAAGCGGTTGGCTTTGATTTCACAGCATGAGCTATCCAGGAGGGCAAGCCCTGCTCCCAGAATAGATTCAGCACCTTGGATAACTCCTTTTAGTGTCAGCCCAAAATGCAGAGCAGATCCCCAGTAGTTTCCACTGTGAAGAAGGAATTATGGAGGTGACCATTCCACTATATTCTATGCAGTGCCCCACTCCTTCATTAATTGCCTCCTAATAACTGCTTTAGACAGCTTCAAGTAAAAAAAAAAACACCATCCAACTGTCTAATTGCTTTACAGAGGGAAATTCTGATTAGGGCATTGGATCAAAGATCTCCTTTGTGGTGGAGAAGCTTTGTCATCAGCTGGTCTTATTGGCACCTTCCCGAATCCAGTAGCTCCACCACTACCGTCCCCATCTAATTTTTTGGTCTGGTGGCAGCAGCAACCCTATTCATTTTCCTCCCATTTAAAACAAGATATGTGCGCTCTACAGCCTTGTTTATGTATACCCCAGGTATATTATTTGACACTAAACAATGACAAGAGAAGATGTTCCTTGCACACAATCTGAAGGCAATACCTTTATTAGAACACCAGCTTATGTTTGAAAAAATAATTTTTAGTGGTCTAATAAAGGTATTCATCGTTGCCTTCAAACTCTGAGCAAGGTGCATGTGCAGGGTGAATCTTGTGTTAAAGGCAACACAGCTTTTAAAATCAGTATTAAGGTGACAAATTTGGAAAGGGCGACAGAGACATGGAGTTAGGAGGGCAAATGGATCCAGGGAGCTGCATGCAAATAGTATGTTGCCCACTCTTGTCTGAAATCAACATGAACAAAGAATTTAGCTAGGATTCTTCATATCCCTTGTCTGAATGCTCAGATTCCAATAACATTCTCTTTAGCCAGCGTTCCTTTCAATTTGTAGTGCATGCCCTTCAAGTGTGAGATGCCTTGGCAGAATCCCCCTTCCAGAATGCTTTTGGACACTCTTATTGGATCTCCATGTTCAGATGATAGAAGTCATTGAAGTTTGCCAAAAGTGCATTGCTGAACTAATTGATGGCGATCAATAAAAAAGGCTCATTCATGATCTCTGTTTACAAGCGTTCTTAAGGTAGCCTGCTGACCACTGAGAAAGAGGAAGGATACTGGGTAAAACGGATGCTTGGTCTGATGGACCTGGGCTTTCCTTAGATGTTGTTTGTCATAGTGTTGCAAAGCATGATCCACCAAATGGCCTCATTTTACAACTGGCATGAAAATGCCCCCTTGATCCTCTATCGGTTCAGGGCTAGTTCACATCTGCTCACCATCTTATATAGCCAAGTGGTTTTGAAACCACCACTCTCCCTCCAGTTTGAACGGCTGACATCCATGAACTGGCCGGAAATGTAAAACCTCCAACATTCCATGGTTAGGTTTCACTTTGGGTCACGGCCCGTGTGCTTTTTGGGAAGTTTATCTGTCATCTGTTTCATAGACACCTTTTTCCAAATATGACACACCTTGTTGACTTTTCAAGTTTGCCTTACGGAGAAGAGCTTTATTGTGATCGTTTACTTGGTTAATGCCAACCAATGTTTGGTTAAGGGGTTTATTTGGGAAATTTTCTTTTCCTTTCCTTTTCCCCATTGGCTTGATTTGTAATACCTTTTTATAGCAAACGGTTCAATAAGGGTACCTCTGTGTATATGAATATTTTTTATCAGTTGTCGGTTTTTATGTTTCACCAAATGAAAAACAAATGTATATTGTAAAACCATTACGTCTGAAGCTTTTATGTGTGGAAAGCTCCTGTCGAATCCCGCCTTCCCTTCTAAATCCATCCGAACAGCCAAGCTGGATAGATCAATCTAGTTTGGTAGGATGATTTGCCTTTAGATCCTTAGTGTAATGTGATAATAAGGAGAATAATGTGTTGACATTGATAGTGTTGCTATCTGCAGTGCAGTATTCTCCAAAGCTGCCTTAATATGATAAAGGAAATCCTGTGTGTTTGTAGTCTCTATTCTCAACAAAGCAGAGAGTATTTTTCTGTGCAACTTTATTGTTAAAAAGTATATGTAACAAAACACTGAGGAGTGGGAGACAGAACGTATCTGCTTGCCCTGTTTAATCATCTGCATGTACAAAATGCACACAGACCTGTTTCACGTTGCATTTCCCATTACCTGAGCTGTACTGGATCACTCCCCCCACCAAAAATGAACCAGGAAGCCACTGAAGATGCCCTCTGAATTCACCGAAGGATCATTTGATTGTAGAGCAGTGATCCCCAGATTTTCTTGGATTGCATCTCCCAGAAATCTTTGCCAGCAGAGCTAGTGATGAAAACTTCTGGGAGATTTAGTTCAAGAACATCTGAAGATCCATGGCTGGGAATAACTGGGATAGAGCAACAAGGGTAAACAAGTTGCAGGTCTCTCTGGTTGGCCATTGAGTCAACTGGGTGGTCTTGGGCGAATCTCTCTCAGCCAATCTCCCAGGATGATTGTGAGAATCAAAGGAGACCACCCACATGGAAACCGCCCCCAGTTGTTTGAAGGAACAGTGAGATTCCAGCATGGTAAGCAAACAAGTTTTGGGTGAAATGGCTTTGGAGGCACTATGGAAGTCGAGAGATCTTCCATACATCATATTTATCTTCAAGAAAGATACTACCTGTTTTAACTCATTCACCACCCACATAAGCATTCTTCCAGGTTTTTATCTTTAAAAAATTATTTTGCAGTTGTTTCCTCATATAGATTTGGCCCTCCTCATATGTTAGATGTCTGAAAGCAACCATTTCTTAATTTCTTGCTGCCTTAGCCATCTTCACAACCATGGGAACAGTTCTGTATCCCTAGATATGGAACCAGGGACAGCTGCATTTTGTATCATTATGGACATAATAAGTGTGGTGTATACACTGGTTGACTATATTCAAGATGTTGGTCAAGTTGTTGAGTGTCTGGTATTGTCCTCTTCCTTTTTTCACTCCCGTCTTTTGGTGTATCACTGTAAATAAAAATCGGGTTTTGCTATTTAAAAAAGTAAATAAAACTGTGCACTGTAAATGTTTCGGCTCTATTCAAATATTGTGTTACAAAGTCTTATTTAAGTTAAGATAGAAATATGCACCATGAAGAAGTATATACAATAAAGATTATCTTCTGTACCAATACACTTTTTACTGGGTGTTTTCCGCTGCTTCTTATTGTGTTGTTGTCATCATCATCATTTATGTTGTTGTTGTTGTTTAGTTGTTAAGTTCTGTCCAGCTCTTGGTGACCCCATGGACCAAAGCATGCCAGGCCCTCCTGTCTTCCACGGCCTCCCAGAGTTGGGTCAAATTCATGTTGGGTGCTTTGGTGACACTGTCCAACCATCTCATCCTCTGTCGTCTCCTTCTCCTCTTGCTCTCACACTTTCCCAATGTAAAATCTACCATTGTCTGTGGTAGGATAGAGGAAAGTAAAGAACATTCTACCCCCCCCCGGTAGGTCATCCAAGTCCTCACACACATGAAGAAAAATTACAGATAAAATTATGAATAGCTTCCCAGAAACTGTGGAAGGACGATTTGAACTTGAAGGCTATTTCAGTTTCATTCGTAGGCCTATTTCCGGCCTGAATTATGTTCCAGTTTTTCTTTTTTAAAGGGGGAGCTATTTTGAGCCTCAAATAGGCTGGGGAAAAGGAGTAGGCAAACCAGACCTCTTTGACTCCTCCCAGAATCAAAATGGCCCTCAGAGTCTACAAACCTGTCCCTCTTAGGTGCTAGAGTATGCCTGGATTATTGTGTGACCTTGGGGCAGTCATGGTCTTTCCCCTCACACAGTTGTTG